TGATGAGCAACTGGGCTTTAAGTTCACAAACACACACACACACACACACACAAGGTCAAGTTTCTATTTTCATGCATAAAATTTCCACTCTCATGCTTGAGTGCAAAGGTCAGATGACAGAGAAATTGCTCAGTAATGATAATATGTAACATAACTTCACAGCTCTTTTAAAGGCATTTTATTTGTTTCCAGAAGGCTGAAGATAGAGACCTGAGAATGCTGACTACATACATACAGCATAGGAGTATTTTCATGCCGATGTCTTACTTATGTGAACATACAAATGTATAACGAGCTAAATGTACTTAAAAGTGTCAAACATGTAATATATAAGTATTTAATGCGTAGCAGAATGGCCCCTGTCAGTTATATAATACATTAAAGGTTCATTATGACTGATGCATATGTAACGTAGGAAGCATTATAATGTTACTTGCTGGTCAAATTGGAGCTTGACCGTGACATACTGTTGGGTAGTTTAAGCTACAACAATGCATAACTTTTCATTAGCTGATCATATGCTTTGTTTCAAAAAATCTTAATCTCAAAAGTGACTAATAACTATAGCTGAAAAATAAATATTGTGGAGTAAAAAGTAAAATATTTATTTTGTGAGTATGCGGTGCAGTGGAAGGGTGAAATAGCTGAATCTGAAAGTAGGCTACTTGATTAAAGTACACTTGAGTAAATATAATTAGTTAATGAGTACAATAATCAAAGCAGAATTTCCATGTAAATGTCAGCAATCCTTTAGTTGTGCAGAACAGACATTTAATTTTCAAAATACTGATTGTTTGTATCCAGGTAATCCCACTCAATGAACCAGAGATAACTGTTTCATATCGCTCAGACTTGTGACCGTGTCTTTATAACTGATTAGATTAGAAGACTGGTGTATTCAGGGAGAGGTCTTTGACAGACTTTTGCTGCAAAAGACAATGGAAAATCCTTAAATGAGTCAGTTTATTTCCTCAGTAATGCCATTTTATTTCAAATGCCAGGCGGTAGTACAGTGGTATGTATGTGCAGAGTATTTTTTATGCTGAGTAGCAGGGCTGGGGTTGCTCACTCAGGAGTGGGGGGTGACTGATAGGTTATCTCTGAGGCCACAGACCCAAAACTATCCACCTGCTGCTGGCAACGCCACTCTCACACTCCCTGTCAGTTAGTCAGCGAGGGGCACCCAGTACACTTTAGGCATTTAAACGTGAAATACGTCTACCAATATATCATTGGTGTCGTCTGAAGGTTTCAAAATCAATATGTCAGATGTTTGGGTCAAATGAATCCAGTCAGGTTTCATAATCTGTGGGCACACACAGAACGCTTCGCTTGAGCCAAATCTATAAATGATCACACACACCAGTGGTGTGTGTTTTCATAGCCGATTTGTACACGCTTCACTGCAGACTTAAGGGAGAAATAAGACTTTCATTTGTGCATTTGGTTTCAGCTAAGTGAGCGCGGCCCTGTGAACATCTGGTCACGCCACCCACTCATGACACTGTAAACCTGGTCTTCACCCTAAAATGCAATGATAAAGTTGTGGGGACTTACATTAGTCCCAAAAGGAAGTCCCTACAAGTTGATTGTGTAAATAGATGTATGTCCCCACAACATGAGTAATACATGCTCACACACAGTCAGTCCCCGTGATAAACCAACTCTTAAATCAAAATTTTGACTATACTCATTTTGCCCAAATTACTCATAAAACACCTGAGTAGAACAACAACAGCTTTATTTCATTCACAGTCAACTACTGTTATGCTTAACTCCCCCGATTCCGCCAGGACCTTTATGGTGAGAATTTAATGTATTGATGGCCAGTGAAGTAACAGAAAATTATCAGGGGTTTTCTATTTGAATCCATTTCCCACATTTAACCAAAGTTTAACCTAAATCACACTAAAGCATAGAAACCTATCTACATTGTTTCCCTTTTCAAGAATGATCAGAATTAGTAAAACAATCATGAGACAAATAATTAAGTGTCAAAAAACAAAACTTGAAATGGAAAAAAGAGAGATGAGATGATTTGGCAAGCACATCCATAATTTATACTCTTTTCCTTAACTGTCTATCTGCTGTTTATCTGCTGTAGCCGGCAGCTCTGCTCTGGGGAAATGGCAACAAATGCCGGGGACAGATTAGCAACCACAGGCCTGCTCCAGTTCACTCACAAGGCCGTCTGTTAGTGGCCTTCTCTCTCTTGCTCTTTCGGTGTTTGTCTCTTTTCCCATTCAGCCTGTTTTATCCTGCAGAGTTGTACAATGCCCTTGTTTGCGGTAGAAACTATTACAACAGGGAAGCAGGTGATTTGATAACGTGTTGTTTCACCTTTTACAGTCTGGGAGACTAAAGGCAAATTCATGTTTTGCTTGCGTGTAATTTCAAACAACAGCCTTCCTGAAGGAGGAAACAGATGCATTTCTGAACACATGTCAACACTCCACTGTAACATCTACAGCGAGAAATAAAAGATTAGTGAACGCAACTACCACAGCTTGATGTATAGGAAACTCCTTTTGAAACATATGGTACATGAGCACCCCCAACAGGGAAGAACACAACACTGCAGCTCCAGTTATTCCCCAACTGACACAGGATGTAAAACTCTGCACACTGCAGTTTAGAGATAACACTCTGCGTTTGTGTGTAGTACATTGTCATGTAAATTGTTAATGCATATTATATTATTATTATGTTATGGTACTAAACTGAATATGAAATGAGGATGGCTTAACAGTTGAGGTTATGAAAGAAAGAGTAGTAGTATATGAAATACTTGTAAAATGAGATTTTGTAAATTTAGACATATTTTGGGTATAGCTTCTTGTATTGTCTCGATGATGACATACATGTATGTTGGTGTATTTTAATAGAAAGAATATGACATATATGAGTGGAGCTAATGTGGTTAAAGACATTTTTAATGCATCTGTTAATCAATTAATGCATCTTGTACAAGATTCTAATCTCCTTTCATGTAACTTGCAACCATCTGGGGTCTTTTGATATACCTGATATATTTGACATATATAACAGCTTATTGGTAAATACTGTATATGGACTTACGGTAACCACTTACTGGTAACCATTTTTCAACATTTTGATCCGTCAAAGATCCATCTGGGATGGAAACCTCTATACCTAATAAATGTGTGGTTTGGAGTCAGTGTGCAGGCATCGCTTTTTTTCATCAATGCTGATAATGAAATGATCCATGAGATAAAGCATGGGTTTATGAGACAATCTTAACAATGCATCACTTTGCAACATTAAAATGTTGCACTTATTACATGTAAATATGTTTCCTCTAGCTGATATTCAAACTGAATTGCCACTTTGTTTCACTTCATTCGGTGAATTTGAATTACTGAATAAATGTGAGACGTGAGCAGGGATTCGCAGGTCTTGAATCAGGCTGGTACCTTTTCTTCATGTAATTCATTTGTTGGACTCAGGATTCAGCTCAATAACAACAACAAATAAAATACAGTGTTTCTACAGTGACGCCCCGCATACTTGATATTGTTAATGTCAGTCTAATTACTGGAGTCGTGCCTATGAGTTTTAAACATGCAGTTGTTCAACCCTTGTTAAAGAAACCTGGTCTGGACCGACTTGAGCTCTCAAATTATCGGCCTATTTCTAAGCTCCCTCTGCTTTCCAAAATTATGGAGAAAGTTGTTTATTTGCAGCTGAGCACATTTGTAAATGACAATTGTATAACTGAAATTTTTCAGTCTGGGTTTAAGTCAGCCCACAGCACTGAGACAGCTCTGCTGAGGGTTCTCAATGACATTTTTTTGGCTTTAGACTCTGGTGATACTGTTGCTCTGCTACTATTGGACCTTACGGCTGCGTTCAATCACCAAATTTTATTGTCGGCTTGAAAATTGTGTGGGCATTAAGGGGTTGGCCTTAGCCTGGATTACATCATATTTGGAAGACAGGAGTTTCTCAGTTCAGGTTAATGATGCTGTGTCATCTCCGGCTCCTCTGTTGTGCAGAGTTCCTCAAGGATCTGTCCTTGGGCCGTTACTTTTTTCAATATACTTACTGCCTCTTGGGTCAATCCTCAGAAGATACAATGTATCGTTCCATCTTTATGCTGATGACTGTCAAATTTATGTGCCGCTAAGTCAGTCAAAAACCCTTTTAGAGTGTCTGAATGAAGTGAAAGCATGGATGGCTATGAATTTTTTGTATTTAAATGAGAGTAAAACTGAGCTCATGTTACTTACTCCAAATGACCCAGCTGCTCCCATCTGGGTTGGCTAACCCGAGATATTAGTTCTGTGGTCACAAATCTGGGAGTCAAGTTGGACGGTCGTTTAAAACTTGAAAACAAGTTATTTCCAGCTGAGGCAACTGGCCAAAGTAAAATCGTTTCTATCTCGACATGATTTTGAGATTTTAATCCATGCTTTTATCACCACTCGTTTAGATTATTGTAATGCACTCTATAGTGGTCTTAGCAAATCACTTATGGCACGATTACAACTAGTTCAAAATGCAGCTGCTCGTCTTTTAACTGGAACTCAAAAATTTGCCCATATTTCACCCATTCTCCAATCCTTACACTGGCTTCCAGTGCACTTTCGTACCTATTTTAAAATTATTTTATTTGTTTTTAATTGCGTGCATGGCTTGGCCCCCCAGTATTTGTCTGCTTGTGCCCTACAGTCCATCTCGTTCGCTCTGATCGGCTGATCAGGCACTGCTGGTAGTCCTTAAATCTAAACGTAAATCTAGAGGTGACCCTGCGTTTGCTGTGGCAGCTCCGAGACTCTGGAATGAGCTGCCTCTACATATTATACTTACCAAGTCATTTTCTGTTTTTAAATCTCGTCTTAAAACTCATTTATTTTCTTTGGCTTTTAATACAGTTTGAGGGTTGTCCTTTCAGTTTTGTATTATTGTATTTAAAGTGTTGTTTTTAAAGGTGCTATATAAATAAAGGTGGATTGGATTGGACAATAAAGACACAAGAAAAACATAAATATATATTTATTTTTTGAAGCATGCCTAAAACTTCAGGACAGCAAACAAAAGGAGCTGAGCATTACACAGTGAAAAGAAAATATAACTTATATTTTCTGTCAGCTGTCAGTTTGTAATGAAAATTGGTCCTTGGGTAATGACAATTAGCAGTCTCATCACACCAGCTGAATCAGTGCCACTGTCTCTTAGTTATCAGGTTCATTTAAAGCATTCCAGTCTGGAGAGTGACACCCTTTAACAACAGAAAATCTCTGCTTTGTGTTAAAAAAAATTAAAAGACACACAACAAAGCGAGAGGTGTAACAGCTCACCAAGCTACATATTATAGATACTCCCACACACTGCTTTAGCCAATCCACTTTCTGTCAGTGCACAAGCAGACTGGGCTTTTTGTAAACATTAACTATTTAGTTTTATTTTTGTTGGCGTGGCAATACACATGTTGTGCTATGGTGAATGAGATGCTGCACCTTCACTGTTTCTTCGTGATGAGCACGCCAACCACTACTCCCATTAGCAGCACCACTCCAATTAGTAGCCACCTACTCAGAGTCTCCCGAGATCTCCTCGCTTCTGCGGCGGCGTCTCGCCCAAAAACCTCAGCAAAGCAGTCCTGGAGTCAAAAAAAAAAAAAAGAGGGAGAGAGATTTTGTCATTAGACAATGTCTAGGTTTCTTGGCATCCACATTAAAGGAATACTACACCAGAAATCTAAAGTTGTGGCCAAAGATATTTACACTTTTGCACAAAAATAAATGTAGGTGTATCTTGTCTTATTGATAATAGTGTCTTCAATACGTGTAGTAGCAAAATGGCGCTAGCACTAACTTAAAAAATTTTTTTTTATTATTATATCACACATAGTTTATAGGCATCTATGTCTTTGCTGTATATACGTGTGCTAATACGTGTGTCTAAATGTTTTTTTTTATTATTATTATTTGCTCTGGAGCAAACCAAGAAAGTTAACAACAAATTCCAATCTTTTTTATATTTTTTTTAAACGTAAATACCTTTTAGAAGTTGTAGGAAACAAATTAACCAAGCATGAGTATACAGACCAGTGGCAGAATAGTGTGCTGTGCTGCAGGAGTAGATTGAGAAGTTTTAAGGGATGTTTTTTTGCCATTAGTCTGAGTTGGAATTTCTTGTGTGACAGTTAGAGATGCAACTTTTTTCACTCCAGATAATTCCAATACCTGAACTCAGGGTATTTACCAATACAGAGAACCAATCCATGATTATACAATGGCCAATACCTGATCGGCTAAACAGGGTCAGTATTGTAGCAGACACTGATCTGTATCAGATCTACACAGTCACAGCACTATAAATAAAGCTGCATGTGGACTACCTCCCCAGTCGACTCACCCATCCTCCTTGGCTCTGGATCCACGGACTGATGTGCTCATCCAGGTACATGGTCATCCAGTCTGCGATGCGGGAAACCAGCTCGCTCATATCCTTTTCAACGCATTCCACACACAGTACACCACCAAAGGCAAACAGACCCACTATGCGTCCCCAGTTGACTCCATCTTTGAACACCTCGTCCATCACACTCTTAAAACTGTGGTAGGCTGTGTCAGGAGTGATGTCAAGCTGCGAGGAAAGGTCACTAAACGCTTGCGTGAAGAGCAGTTCAAACTCATTTGCTGAGTCCCGAAGAGCTTCCTTTACAGCCTCTACAGCAGCATGCGGGGATGAGGACGTCCCTGGCTGGCCACCCCCGTTCCTGCTGTTGGCCAGCAAGCAGTTACTGCAAGATGAGTGGGCCTTGCCTCCCTCACTCCTTCCACCAGCATCCTCTGGCCTCAGCAGAGAGGCTGGGTAGTTCCTCTGAGAAAGTTTGTAGCTTATAAAGAACTCCACCAGCTCTCTGTTGCTGCACGACATTATTTCCACACTGTGAACCTCCAACACACAGCCAACCTAATCAGAGCCCATGGTTTCTCCTACCGTTCCTCTCAGGCTGTCAGTGCATTAAAGCTTCTTCGCCTTATGTTGCAGCTAGCAATAGCAGTCTGGAAGCATAGAGGGATGAGAGGGGGAAAAAATGCATCAATTCCTGTGAGCAAATATTTTGCAATCCATGCTGCTGTGTTTTAGCATGCATTGGTTTCCATTCATTTCTGTGTGATAAAATGATCCATCAGGGGGCTTTTGAAATGTGCTTGAGTTGTGTTGTCCATCCCAGTGAACATGCAAGTCTGCATTCATTTTTCACATTGTCATTGCTGCGTAATGCAGTTTAATTGCAGATGCATTTGAAATATCAGCTCTGCATTAGCACACAATGATAATTTATAAAATGCCTTCTCTCGTGTTTCAGCAGTCTGCTGATGCGATATTTCGTATGGTACAGAAATGAATGAAGACTTCTGGATAACTGGAAGTTTTAAAGAAAAAAAGGCATCCAAAAATCAAAAAGTGCTTTTGACAATAAACATGAGCTAACAAACATTAGCTAAATAGCCGCCTTTCAAGCTCACCATTTCGAAATCCAGTAACATTAAGTTATAATGATACGTGTCTGATACGTATATCAAATACATGTCTAGATGCCAGCTTGCCACCGCAGTGCCAGATCTGGCTGCAGTCAAATAACGTAGTTACCAGTTTTAGCTTTACGTGCTAACTAGCTGTTTATAAACAATCCATAGGAAACGCATCAAAAACAACTACAAACTAAAGCCACAGGACTGATATGAGGGAATAATTATTGACAGTTATACTTACAACTGCTAAAATGTTGTTTTCCCTTTGAGAGTGCAGCTATGGAGATACTAAAAGCTGTAGTTGTGAATACAGACACAATATGGTCATGTTTGCAGCTGTAGACTCTGTGGCCTCAACAGTGATGCACGCTGGCGGTTGGCCAATTCTGCTACTGTACCAACCAAACGTCCCGCCTCCTCCTTCTGCTGCACCAATCAGCGTCTGAGAAACACCGGAAATTAAGGGGCCCGTGAAATGTTTGGATAAAGTTCAGGTCCACAAATCTGCTTTCATCATTTCACTTACGCACTAAGAGTGTGGTACCTTAAAAATGTGATGTACAAAAAGCAAAAGAGGTATGTTAATTTAATATAAAATGCACTTCAATTTACTTTATGGAGTATTTATCTTTTAACATATTTGCAGTGTTTTTACTAGTTGTACCACGTGTTGTGTCTACAAAACTGAACGTATAATGCTCATTTTAAGAATGTGTTTATCTTACATTTACTCTGCTCATTGCACTATTGTCTGTTAATCTGTCTGTTTTTGTTTATAGTGTGTATATACGTGTTCTCTATACTGTAGCTTGTGTTGATTTTATTATTCTTATTGTATAAGTAAGCACATCATGAGCAATGTACAATCCAGTCCAATTCCTCCTATGTGTACACATACCTGGCAATAAAGCCGATTCTGATTTTGTGTAATTTTTTTTGTTTTTGGAAGTATGAATAACTAGTGGTTAAATGGGAAAACGTGGTGGTCTGTAATGAATCAATGGTTCAGTAATGTATTTAATGTTGATGAAAACATCCGCTTATCAATTTACTGTTACAAAAGCCTGTATTTTAAAAAAGCAACATTTTATCATCTCTCCTTTCAACTGCATCCTATAAAAAGATATTAAGCATAGGCAGCAATTATATTACAACATTTTTTTTAAGCTTTGAAGCTTCACTGTGTTCTGTACACCTGGCATAAGAGGTCATTTTGACAGACTGAGTGGTGTCGGGGGGAAAAATTTCATTAAACAAACATATTTATTAAAACGTGTACATGAGCATGTCCTACACTTTCTAGATGTGAAATGACAATATGACACATTTCACAGTTGAGAAAAAAAAATGGAAGTACAGAAGTTGGCATAATCATTTCATAAATCGTGTGACAGTTAAAAGGTGACTAACACAGATTGTATGTAGAACCTAAGAACAATGGTTAGAATATATACAATGTCACTTGCAAATGCCATATATTTATGCATTATAATGTAACTTTTTTTCCTTCTTTCCACGACATCAATGAGAAATGTGGAACTCAAGACTTTTTGTGAGCCATGCCATTTTACCAAATGTAACCCTCTGTAGTTTTTTCCCCTTCATCTTAAAGCTGGGGTACGCATTTTATTTCAGAAGCATTAGTTGTTATATTTGTTGAAATTCTCTAAACATCCCAACAGCAATCACTAAATCATATGCTCTGACACAAAAATGATAAACTTCTGCCATCTATGACTGTCGCAGGATTGTAATAAACAGTCTGAATGAAACTATTGGCTCCCCTCCTGTGAGCACTCTGCCCCTGTTTGGGGGTGGGGGGGGGTCTATGGAGGAAAGGCCTGAAAGGAGGGGGTGCAATTTTTCCATTTGGATACTTCCAGCCTGTCTCTTGCTAGTTCTCCGTTGCCTACCCCAGCTTTAATTCCTACACTTCTTTTAAAACTGATCTGTTACTCGACCAAGGCACACTGCTAAGCACAGACACTAACAGAAAGTCATCCAAGCATTTGCATTTGAATCTTGCAAAGAACTCTCTTTCTCTGTAGAAGGATCATTTGTGTTCAAAGGTTCTGTATCTTCTGTTGGGTTTGAAGGCTCCTGGGACTTTACATTATCGTGTTGGTTCGTGTCAACATTTCCATTCTCAGAAGGTCTATCTTCTGTTTCTGGTTCACTGTCTGAGTCAATGGAAATGGTCTCTGTGCATGTGCTGAGTTTTAGGGTACAGTTTAATGTCTCGCACTGTTTGTTATTTTGGTCTGTGTTTGGAGTACCAGACTTGAGTCCTCCAGATCTCCCCACTGAGGTGCCATCAACCTTGCTCTCCTCAAAGATCAAGTTATGCTTAACTTTCTTGACAGCGTGCATGTCAAAGCCAAGCAGCACAGACACCTTCTTGGTCTCACATTGTCTCTCACATATCCTTCGTTTGGTTTCAAAGTGACTAGAAATGTCGGATTTCCACAGCCACAGACTTGCAGAGAGCTTCTCCTCTTCCTGAGGAGAAAGGTATGGTCGCCGGTTGAAGTAGGCAGTCAGGAAATTCTTCCTGGCCTCATATGTCTTGTGCTCATAGCTTCTAGGATCCAGAGCAAAGTCAACGGATTTGGACTGATTTCCAACGGTTGTGGAGGAGATCTTTGACTCCTTGCTCAGCTTTAACCTCTTGGGGCTGGGGCTGGGGCACGAGTTGGGCGTGGCCTGCATTGGTGGCTGCCTCTTGAGGAAGCCAGCCCCAGATGAGTTGAGAGTCAAGGCAGTCTTGAAGCCTTGGCTTGCCTGGGTCCTACCAACAGCCCTGCACTGTACAAGATGCAGTGTGATTGTGGAGGCCACCATGTTACTGGTGTACACTCCCAAGCAATGAATGCACTTGTACGTCATCTTTTTTTCAACAGGATGCATTGTTTGGAGCACTTGGTGTCGCTCCCTCAGATGCATGGCCAAAGCATCGGAGATGGGACCTTTGAGAATGGTGAAACAGAGCGGACACAGAGTCTTCCCAACCTCACTCTTGTGAGTCGGCGAGGGGAAACTTTTAGCAAGTGGTTCGCTATTCTTCTCAATCATTCTGGGAGCGGTTACTTTGACCAGAGGTGGAACACTATTCTGAGCAGGTGCAGGCTGATCTTGACCATTGATAGATTCCTTCATGTTAAAAGTGAGAACAACAAGCTGTACATTACTGGACTTATCTTGTTTAATGGTGAGATCAAAGGTCAGAGGTGACGCACCAGGGGGTCCAACAAAGTCAACGGGATGAGTCTGGGCCACGTGCTCCATCATTTTCTCAACATTGTGGAAAGCAGAGTGGCACTGAGGACAGGTGAGCCCGTGGATTAGCATGTGGTTAAGCAGTGTATCGCTGGGCAGATAGCGGTTGCAAAGCAAACACTTGCTGGTGAAGTTGTGGATTTTCATGATGTACTTGGCCAGTGCCCACACTTTCTTTGCCTTGTGCGCGTTCTCAAAATGAGCATTATAGAGGGTTTCAGGAAAAAGCTCATTGCAAACTGTACATATCTTCCACTTCTGTGTCTGCGCTGTGTTTACACCAGCAGCATTGTTTTCAGCAGCAGTGCTGTTGCCAGGGACTGACGTGCGCACCTGACTGGCTTTGATGGGGGTCTGATTTTTAACAATAGGGGCCACTGGCTTTAAATAGCCAATAACTGGTTGTGCTATTGGGTCAGCTCTAAGTGTGTGGCCCCTAATGATCAGAGGGGCCTTCTGAGACATGACTGGTAAGGACTGAGGCCTGGAGACAAGGATATTAGCATGTCCAATCATGGTGGTAACTTGAGCACCAATGCGCTCATGGTACTCTATAACATGCTGTACTAATGCCTCGTAGCTTCGAGTGGAAAACTGGCAGCGTTTACAGAGGATGTTGTTGCCATTGACAGAATTAGCACCATTTTTGATAGAGGACTCAGACACCATACCAAGATATGGTGATACAATATGCTGAAAATGTTCTCTGTAGATGTGCCTTCTCACAACATTGTAGAGCGTGTCTCGGAAGGTGCATTTTTTGCAAAAGTACATTGCTTTCTCCACACCATCTCCTTGTCTGGCTCTATCAAGATACGCTTTGTCCTTCTTTCCCAGTGCAGTTCCTGGTGAGTTTCCATAATTCTGCCGTGATGAACTGGGTATGTGGAATATTTTGACATGCGTCTCCAAAGTTCTCTTGCTTGCAGTGAATGTGCAGTATGGACAGTTGAGCAGAATTTTACTCTCAAAGATTTTCCTATGTACATTGCGGAAGTGATTCTTGTAGCCTGAGTAGTATTTGGAAGAAAATGAGCACTCTGTGCAGCAAAATGGCTTCGATCGGTATTCCTAAAAGACATCAAGGGGGAAAAAGCAACGGCATTAAGACAAATATGGTGATTTGTGCAGGTATTTTAAAAAGGCCTTGGACACAGAAGTAAGATATACCTGTGTTTTAGAGTACGATGGATCCCACGCGCAGATATCAAGGCAATAAGTGTCCTTTACAAATTGATCATTTGGGCAAAACTCTTTAAACTCCTGTGGAAGGAAGTCAAGAGATTAAGGTATCTTTGTTACAAACGTATTAGTTTAAACACAATCGGATTTGTTTGAGAGCACACAAATACAAATTCTACAGAGCCAGCATAGAGTTAAGTGGAAAATAAACACCTACATACACTTACAACTATGTTTTGAAAGCCCCCCTCCAGTGTATTTTGACATTTCTATGATATTTCATATTTTGTGAGTCATTTCCTTAAAATGTTGATTACTCACATAGTTTGCCAAATAGCTTAACTTTGTGCTCAAAGTTGCAAAAGTTGCTTAGTTGTTAAATAGGGTTGGTGACAAATGACTATAGCAATTCCATGAGTCATAGGTCATTCTCCAGGCTTGCGCAGGTGCACTGTCATGACTCGTTTAGTCAGAGCATCAAACCGATAAACATTGTTGTGAGCTAGCTAACCAATTTATCATGTAATTTACTTAGAATTTACAATAGGTATGTCTCTCTGTGTGTCTGATTCAGAAGTCTGAAGCTGAGGAGCGATGCCATCAGTGTTGCTGAAACGGTGAGTGGTGCACTCAAATGCACCAGCTGCACAATCATAGGTCATAGCTACTCTGATGAAAACATATATACTGTATCAAACGTTTGGTCAATTTTTAATAATGAGCATTGGCACCACAAGTGTGTGGCGTCTTTGCTTGTTTTTGTCAACTAGCAAGCTCATTAATATGGAGCGCTCAGTGCACTGAAACTTAAGAAGACATTATTTTACGCATCTTAGACTGAACATCAGCAGAGACAGAATATTATAAGCTTGGTGGTTGTTCCGTTTAGGACGTCTTTTGTTATAATTACATTTTCTTTTTTACAGAAAGGAAGGATCTTAATCTGTGGAGGCCAGCTATTATTAAACATCTGTACTCAACTGCAGATGTGATGGTGAACAACGTTTAGAACATCCACAAACACAGCACGCTGGAACCAGTTATGACCGGTTACGACATACCTTACACAGTTTGTGGTTAAAAATGATTAACAGTCCAGTCTTCAGTGGTACTGGTTGGTGCCTGGTTTAATTTGATTTCAATTTTGATTTACAACTTGTGAACTGCACGATCTGCCTTTCAACCACGATGGAAGCTGTGAGGCTGCTGTGATGGTGTGTTATATTCTATAAACATGTTTTTCCTTTTCCCAGCATACACATCAGCCCTCACAGAGTCCACTGCACCTGCCCCACTTAGCAGATCGGCCAAAAGATCCTCATGGATGGATGAGGCAGTCGGCCTTTGTCGGTTAACGGTTTAGCACAGGACATAAATGTGAAACCAGCACAGAAGTCTTGGTTCGCTTTATTAATGAAGGCAAAGCCAGATCAGTCCAACAATTAATATTATCCTCGGCCAAAGACATACTCACTCACATTTGTCTATCTGTAAGATATCTAAAAAAAAATCTCCAAAAGACATCTATATATAAAAATGTTTTATTAATAAAATCTTGAGAATTTTACAGCTTTGAGTCTTTTCTTCATTTTGACCATACCCATTTGGTGCATCCACACATTTTAAAAAGTTCCAATCTTGTGTTTGTGTTATTGTTAATTGCAATTTCTAAATATTACAATACATTAATAGTTTTACATAAAACATGTTTAACCATTAATGCACTATGCATCTGTTCACTATATAAATGATTGCAACTGCATAAAATGTGATTAATTTTATTGTCAGCCAAATGAGGCTGTATTAAATGTGTAAATATCCCATTCTTCAGGACACAACACATAAAGTTAAGGACTTCATAATGTGCCTGCCTTAGGCCCAGCGACCTGCGTCTAAGCTCTATGGTATGCTTGGTAGACACAATATCTACAGTTAAAGCTGATGAAAATATCATTATTGTCAGTGTGATGTAAGCAGTGGTGATGTACATACAATGTTGTGTTTCTTATAGCCTACATTAACAGAAATAACTCAGATTCTGTTTTAATCTCTCCAGTTTACTATTTTTCCTCTTCAAGTTCATAACAAGTCAACTTTACATGCAGATGATCAAGTATACAAAACTGCACATTTCACAGAGAGTAACAGACCCCCCGCGGTAAAGTAAGCACACCATAAAACGTAGTGGGAGTTACCGTGTGCAGTGCGTGACAGGACCATCGACTGTATGATTGATAACAGCTGATACTTGCACATTAGTTTCTATCATGGGTAAGTAATAGCTACTCCTTCCAGACAGTAAAGTGGACTAAACTTTACAGTGTAGTGATGTTAACACAGCATATCGAGCCGAGTTTATGTTTGTCACTGTAATTGATTACTATATATATATATATATATATATATATAGCTTTGGCAATACTGTTGCTACACATTCATGTCAATACAGCTAATTTAAAATTGAATATATCTGACTATTAACCACACCCCCATTCTCTGTTTGAGAAAGAACGTTAACCAAAAAAAGGCAGTTAAAATTGGCTGGAGGGGGGCTTGAAACACAAATGATAACCATCCATATGTTCTATAACTCACATTTCTCTATTTAAATTGGAGTTTGTAATCACATGTAACTAAAATACACTCACCTCTGCTGCCTCCTTGCAGTACTCCAGTCCAATGTCTCCAAGGGTTTTTTTCACTTGCTTCCTAGCTCTCCTGATTCTTGAAAGGTTATTCACTGGGAGTTGGTACATCTCTCCTGAAAGAAAAACAGAAAATAAACTGCTTATTAGTTTGAGGAAGGCTTATTTTAAGCCAAATCACTGCAAGCAAATTCTTCCAATATAATATTTGGAAATGTAGCACTGTAGCTCGATCAATAATCACCAACATCATAAGAGACTTCATAAAACAGGCGACACGCCCTTCCAACATGTGTCTCCATTCAATAAATCACTGTCCCCACATTTAACGTTACTTATGATGGCAGGATAACGTTATCTGTGTTCAAGACGTCAGTTTCTTCAGCGGGCCGGTGCTGTTTCAGCGGGCCCCGTTTCACCAGAAATACTTAAAATGGGAGCACATCTGTGACCTTTGTTGCTCCCTTATATCCGGTGATTTAGCGGATTAGAGTTTTACAGTACATGTTGTTAGCATTAATGTGTTAGCCAACGTTAGCTATGTTACCCGCTCATGTCGGCTTGGTCGCCTACTGAGCATCCGAGCTAGCGCTGCATGGCAGGGTAGCGTTATTGATTTATTTGCACAAACCAAATCAATTGATGCATTTACTCACCTGCTGCTTTGTCTGGAGACTAGCCTCACTGCATAAATGGCTAACAAAGCAGATGACTGTGTGACCGAGAGGTGCAGAATGGTAGTGATGTTCGCTCTCCTCACAGCCGGCGGTGCTGATGCTCAGCTCCACAGCTAGCTAACTAAGCTAGCTCGCTAGCTGTTACGTCTGCTTTGGTGCAGCTGCTGGCTAGCTTGAGGAACGAAAGGCAGGACCGAGTGGTACACATCTCATGAAAACAGTATACTCCAAAAAAAAAAAAGATGACTGCCAGGAACACAGTGGCCTCTTATCGGTTACAGTATATGCACCGGCGGTCAGGCTAGTCTGCAAGCTAACGTTATTCTATTCCAAGTGAGCCAACTCTCAATCCAAAATGGCGACGACGGAAGTCGTAGCCGGACAGGGCAGGGGCTGGATCGGATGGCCAAAAGTTTGCGTTGAGGTTTTTTTAACACATTTTTTTAATTTTCAGTTATTAAAAAAACAGGATTCATTGTTCAGGAGTTCAGGCTCATGAAAACACTCCCTTTGTACTTTACTTACTATTGCTGCAACAAAGAAAACTATTTTCATTGATTGTTTTGCCCCCTACAAATTAGCTAATGGACCCATATTCACTGGGGGAAAAGAACATATTTCTTAAAATATTACAGTTCCAGCAAATGTGGTTGTGTCCAAAACAGGACAGCTGGACTTTAAGTGGTCCTCATTCCAGTGGTTCCATAACTGCCAGTACAGCAGTGCGAGTTCCTGTCATCACCAGTTTGGAGACTGTCCTATGGTCCAGGTGGAGAACACACTGTCCATTCACCTGGCACACAAACTGCCGCACCTAAAGAAAAACAATGTGAGGTACTGGTCTTCGTTTTGTCTCAGAGTCAAATATGTGCTGTTTTAAAACACTTTTGAGGTAATGACAGCATTTTCTCTTTCCTTCTGTCATGTGTTATCAAATATCTAACCTTAACTCCTGCAGCTGCTGCAGGGCTTCCAGGGTCAACAGCCTGCACGTAACAGGGAGCCATGCCTCTGACAACAAAGCCCCAGCCCAGGGCATCTCCTATCACCTGTGATGGCAGGAGGGTGAGATAAATTACACATTCTGTAGAAATGAACTATGAGGAGTATTTTAATTTTGTCCCTTACTGGCATCACAGATGAATGCTTTAATTATCGTCTTTTAGACTTTGTTGTTCAGGTTATACTAAATTAATGCTGTTAAATCCTAGACATGACATGTAACTTCTTAAATAGCCATGGTTAAGTCATTACAGTAACTCACTGTCAACACTCTCTTGATGAAGGGTGCACCAGGGGCCAATAACTCTTCACGTGTAAAATTTCTTCTAAGTACTGAAAAGTCATTCACAGATTTCAATATTCACCATTTTTTGTGAGTTTTGGACAATGAAACACAAGCAAACCTCAATATATGAAATTCTTCTTTTTTAAATTAAAGATACTTTGAAACAATTGTCAGATGCATATTAATTACACACTTGCCTGATTTAGGATTGCATCTCACCACTGAAGTCGAAGACTGTTGGACAAGTGGTGGAAATCCAGCAGACCAAAGCTTAAGGGAATTCAGGGTGCCTCGATGCCCACTAGTAACCTGTTTCAGGTCCTTACTCGACCTCACTTTTAATAAATAAGTACTAAAATGATTATGCCATTATAAGCATTCACAACAAAATGTATAAAGGGCAGACAATGTTTTTTTTTTTACCACACTGGAAAGCTGGTGTGCCCTCCTGAGGCAGGCTTTTGCGCAGAACAAATGGACTCTCAGCATGGTTGTCCTCTTGTGTCAACACTACCACATCCTCGTCATTGTCTTGTTCACTTTCATTTAACAGTTCAGATAGGCGGCGGCGGTGGCGAAAATGTATGCAGAACTGATAGAGCAGTCCACTGTCAAAGAAATCGTGCTTCTTTGCCACTGGTGGTGGGAGAGAGAGAGAGAGAGCACAAAACAACAGTGGGAAACTTTTTAGAATGAATGGAATTTTTCACAATTGCTTTAGACTGCAAAAGTCCCAGCTGGCCACCCGCTGCTAGCCGCGACTGACAGCCAGCTTATTCCTGGTGCCATACGCCAAAGAGCAAATGAGGATCTCCCCTCACCGTGCTGAATGATGCCATGCTCCTGCAATGCGCGGCACAGCTCCAGTCCTTTATGCCGGCTCTCTGCCTCTCCGTTCTGAAGGAGCCAGTCAATCAACAGGCAGCCAGGAAACGAGCGCTGATTTGCAACCCCATGCTCCTCTCTCAGCTTCAGAATGGAGTTCTTGGTCCCTGTGAGACTGAATAAGCACGAGACACAAAAACAAAGATCATAACATGCAAATTACTTTTTATAAATGCAGGAAGGAGCATTTCATCAAACAAAATTACCAATATATATATGACAGAAGATTACTCTAAATTTTAACATATTGTTGTGTGTGTGTGTGATCATGACTTTGATTGGCTGTGCACTTCAAGATCAGCTCCCAGCACAAAACAGACAGCAGCTCTTACTGTTCATACAATCGTTGTCCTCGCATGTAGATGTTCACCTCTGTATTGAAGGGAAATGTGCCATCATCCTTGCGGAAACGGTACAGCAGTTTGGCATCCTGGAATACTGTCCTCTTATCACAGACTAGGGAAAGGTAACATACCGTTTCAGATAAGTTTGGAAATGAGCGAGTGTACAAATAAAGCTACAATAACATTTCTTTCATTTGTGCAGAAGGCCTTTGAATATCCCCTTGCTGAAACTTGTGTTGTTGCTTCCTTCTTACCATGGTGAACAATGTCATGATCGATGAGGTGCTGCATGAGGCAGGCAGCGGTTGCTCGATCTGGAGCTTCCTTATGGCTCACCAGCCAGTCTATGAGTTCCTGGGCCACAAAGCAGTTTGGATACGTGCGCAGGTGGTGGTGCCGGTCCCTGATCAGTTTTTCATCGTGAAGCCTCAACCTAAAAATTAAATTTAGCAATAATCCTGATTTTGAAACTTAAAACCTGCCTTATGCTAGCCTGCATGTCACATTCCTCCTTCTCTCTCATCATACCTGAGTTGTTCTCCAGCAATCATGACTTCTCCTTCATGTTGTCCGGCCATGGCTTCTCGCCTAATGCTACTTGTTCGCTCCCTGTTTGTTACCTGTGGACTAAGAAAGTAAGTGAAGCTAGATCTTAGTTATGGCCCGTTTGTGTTTACAAAATAGCCACTGAAAGACACAGAACATTGCCATGTGGGAAAGATGTTGTGTATACAGAAAGAAAGAGAGACAAAGGCCCTGTTTACTCCTGGCATTTCCGATCACAAGTGCACAGCTTGGGTACATCAGTTCACACCTGGCATTAGAATGCGTCTCGAATGTCCACTTCAGAATCAGAATCAGCTCTATTGCCAAGTGGGTTTACACATACAAGGAATTTGATTAGGTATTTTGGTGCCTAACAACAAACATAGTAGGTAGTGTGATCAGATCTGACTTCCCCGCTCTAAATGCAAATAAATACGCACATAATTTCCATAGATTAATTGTGTTGTTGTTTTTAACCTGAATTTGATGAATTTACTGTTTATCAGACCACAGATGAGACCAGTCCTTGTTGATGAAAACACAACTTTATTCACTGAATTTGATGAAACTGGATCATATTTTAGGGTGGCTAACTCAGCTAACTAGCTAATGGCAGCTACAGTTAGCAACAGTCAGCAGTTACTTTAGCAACATGTAAAGCTATCTCTCCATCAGAAATCTCTCACGAGATTTCAGAACGAGAATTGTCCTTGAGCGAGATTTGTCTTTCTGGTTAAAAACAAAGTGTGTCACTGGGTGTCTCGTAGGGATCCTTTCCATGATGTTGTCAAACACCTGCTATAACAGCTTGAGCCTGTTGGTGGCAAAATGAAGCACCTTTTTTTGGATGTAACTTTGACGGGCACAAATGCCCCCAAGGAATATGTTGCAGCCACTGCAGCCGGTTCGCTGAGGCCACCTACTGCACAGATTCCAAAACTCTTTGTTGCCTACTAGTCAATTTGACACCAAAATATGTGAAAATAGGGCCCAGTTTTAAAAAATACCAAAATGAGCCTTTTACCACATGATTAGTGGAGTTTGTGGGTGGGTTGGCACACAGAAGTTAATATTAAATTAATATCCATCTCTGTCTAATTTTCTCTGTTCTTGGATGCAAATAAAGTGAAGCCTTGTTTCCAAGAGCTGTTGATGTTATGAATATTATTGATTAAATTGCTGTGTATAAATACATTTTTCTCACAGGCATGACTGTGTTTTTGTGGTGATATGATCTTACTGTCTGCTGGTGATGTGCACTTAGGCTGTTGGCATCCTGTCATTATACCATAAGTTGTATATACTGCAACCCTGCCCTGCTGGCATGAATCCCAATATGCGTCCCGAGCCATCTTTGCTTGTCACACAGTCTCCTCTTTTCCTTTATTCCCAGCTACTAAAAATTACTGAAACAATGCCTCTGCATCCTCTGACAGCATTTTCTATTGGTGTTGGCTTGAGTCCTCTATCTTGTCAGCTAAAGCTTTCACTATCTTTGGAGTAAGCACTGCCTAAGAGGGTCACCTCAGGGCGGGAACATCACTTAACCCTTTGATATCCTTTGCAGTTTGGCACCTCTGGACACCACTAGAGGTGACATCCCTGAATCAGACAGCATATCCTGGAACATGCCAGAGGTTTTTATTGTTTCAGGTATGTTGCTGAGTTGTTGTCAGGGGGCTCATGACTTCTGGTGGGATGCTTTGTTAAAACCATCAGCCACTTCTCTGGCTGTCAGGTCCTAGGGCAGGCCTTCTGTAAAATCAGCAAGTGCCTAAAAGCTCTCCCACAGATGTTTTGAGCCCTGTATTGCCTACATGTTCCAGATGTGCACAATCCTACTAGACTGTAAGAATAACACAGAATTCATAACATTGTAACTTTTGAGCAAACAGATGAAAACATAAAAATAAGAAAACACAGACCGTGGAAGGAGCTGGAAGGTTGTGTGATACGATGACGATTTTTAAATGTTTTCATTTGATCCAGGAACATGAGTTGCCTATTTTGCTTACAACCAGGAACTGAACAATAGCTCAATTTGTTAAATTTCATTTAAAACAGGAGCCTCAGTTTAGTGGCCGATAGAAATACAATTGCTCCCTCTTGCGTTCGTGCAATCCGGTGGTGGTTCAGACTTCATACCTGGGACTTGTGCAGTGTGGACTAATGACCAGAAGATGTCAGTATTCTCCTGTGTAGTAAGGAGCACAGGAACAGCAAAAGTGTGCTGCAGCCTCCTTTTTGATGTTTAAGTGAAATTAAGAAGTCATGCCAACATTTATAAATCACCAAAAATGAAGACATAAATATAAATCAAATTAACGCTGACAATAAAACTTCAAATTGCAATTACATTTTTATTAATTTATATTTTAAGTAGGCAAAGGTGATGCCATGTTTAGAGAATTTGCTTGAGAAATAATAAAAGTAGCCTACTGCCTACACAAGTGTGGGTGTAGCCTACATGTGTTTAACCTGGCCTAACACACAGGATAAATCTGATAACTACCCCCGTGGGATAAAGAGGACTAAATGTAAAATGGAAGACAGATTTAAAAAAAAAACAAACAAAAAAACACATTCCTGGAGATAATGTGCCTCTGTGGGTCATTTATGGGTTTTGGCCATATGATGGTCAATGATCACGAACAGCTCGTGTGGACAGACTCGTAGCAGCTTTTATGCAAATCGCCCTCTTCAGCGTGTTTTGATTGGAGAGGAGCGTGGAGGTGTAGTCTGGAAGGCGTGACATCATGCCAATGCAGCTTTATGAAGAAAGTGCGCTTCTCCTGAACAGGCAGAGGTGCGCCCAGTCCTCTGGCATCAGTGGACGTCGAGTGTGTGGCTGCTGAAGCCAAACAGGCTGCGCGGTGCAGAATCACCAGTTCGCACAGAGTTTGATCAGGTGGGAGTCTTTTGCGCACGCATGTTTTTTTCCCCTTTTTGAGCTGAAATCAAAGTTTGGAATTACTGCTATTTTTCAAAAGTAAGTGCGCGTTCACTGACTGCATGAAATAGCTGTGGAGATTCGGAGCTCTTTGACCTGACGAGCTTGCCTTTTACTATGTCCGCTGAGGCGCATTCACATTTGGGACTGCAGAAAACCAACATGGATTTCGTCAGCGACTTCGACTTGATGAAGTTCGGCGTCAAGAAGGAGACGATGCAGGGGATAGACCGCTCTTTCATCGGACCATGCAGCCAGCTCCAGAGACCAGACTCTGTTTCCTCCACCCCTGGCAGCACACCTTGCAACTCAGTACCCTCATCACCAAACCTCAATCCTAACGAGCAGAGAAATAACCCCGGGGGCGACCAGTTCTGGATACCCAACAACGGGGGTTACCCTCAGCAAATGTACCCTCAAGCTTTTGGCCTGACACCCGAGGA